CCCCTTCCCCAACCAATCCCCAACCCCGCTGCAAGGGAAGCTGCGGTAATAACCGCCCAGCGGGAGGGCGCGGACGTGCCCGAATCTTGGCTTCCGGCCAACTTGTTGGTCGACGTGGGAGGCCCGCTCACCGCGGCGAAAAGCGGCACTCCCTACATCACGAAGCTCTGGCGCGAGATCAGCCGAGATCTACCGCCCGAGATCGAGCAGAGATCACCAGCCGAGATCGAGGAGATATGCCAGCCGGCTGGCCGGATGTGAGAGGCAGCGATGAGGCTCACTGACGCGAGATCGGCCGACCCTCGCACAACCCGCCTAGAGCACAGACCCCCGACACGCGGCAGGGGAAGAAAAGTATATGCTTCCCCGGCTGTGTTGTCGCCGCGATGGGGCAGCGCGCGAATGCGCCGCCGCTGCAGTTGGCATGCAGCGTCCGCAGCCCATGCAGAGCGATGGAGCACAGACCACAGACGGCGGGGTGCGTCAGACGACAGCGATGCGGCGGAGCACACGCCCCAGACGGGCGGCCGGGGCCGAGGGGCTGCATCGCTGCATCGCACGCACGCTCGGACGGGCAGTCAAGGACGGCCACTCGGCGAAACCGGGACGGGGCGGCCACACACGCGCGAACTGAAAAGGGGACCAGACCCGCCCCCCCGCGCCCCCCCACCGGGAGGGCCTCTGGAGCGTCTCACGGCTGCTCGCTTACCGCACGCAGGCACATGATCGACTACCGGCTGCGCGGCGCCAGCTTTGCTGCCGCCGACGCCGAGTGGGAGGCGGCGAACAAGCCGGGCTTCCGGTGCGTGCTTGGCACGTGGGACGCGTGCAAGACACTCTCGAGACACTCTCGAGACACTTCCGAGACACTTCCGAGACACTTCCGAGACACTTCCGAGACACTTCCGAGACACTTCCGAGACACTTCCGAGACACTTGCCGGACAAGACTGCCTTGTGCTCGCTGCGTCGTGACATTTCGCGTGCACCCTGCGGCACCGAGCGCTTACAGCAGCGCCTCACTCCACAGCTGCTGTAATCTGCTGCTCACGGCACTAGATATAATTTCAGCACGCATGCAGTGACTTCTCTACAGCGCTGCTCCACAGCACTGCTCGACCCCGTCAGCCACCGACGGCGCTCACTCCACAGGCGCCGCGACCCTCCCGAAACCCTCCCCACGCGCCGCAGGTACGGGCTTGGCGGCAAGCACATGCGCAGCGACGCCGCCTCGTCGCAGCTGGCCTCCGCGCCCGACGGCCACTTCCTCAACCGGTATTGCACATCGGCGATCATGGAGGACAAGGCACGCACCAGAGAGAAGCTCCACCGAATAGATTCCTCCCCCGCCACTCTCGCTTCCGGTCCCACGGCTGCCGCCACGCTGGCCCGTGCCCGCGCAGAGCTCGTCGCCCGCCACCCCACTGACCCGGCCACTTGGTGGCCGCTGGGCACAACGCACAGCCCCCGACCACGACATAGGCGGAGGTGTGGGCGGCGCTCATGTGCTACGCCCTCACCCTTTCGACCGAGCCGCTGCGCGCAAAAGGGAGGCTGCTGCAAAAGGCGCGCCCCCGTCCCGCCGGGCGGTGCATGCCTTGATGTAGCCTCTCGACTCACGCCTTGGGCCGTGGCTCCGGTAGCGCGCCGCTGAGCTCTGCCCGCTCCTCAACGACGCGTGGTGGGAGTCCGTCTACACGGCGCAGGTTCGCAGCCCCTAACCCCCTCCCCACCCGCCTCGCCCCCGCCCCCTCCATTGGCGAGAGACTCTGGCGCCGGAGAAGCGCCCACCTCGTCATCCCTCCTCCAACCACGACCACGGACGCAGCGTCACGCTGAGCTAAGCACGGCAGGCGACGCGTCAAAATTTGTGGGAGCGACACGCGTCGCCCGACAACGGGACCATCTATCACCACTATTTGACCGGCGAGGTGCGAACGGAGGCGGACCCGCCCGAGGGCTGGTCCATCGATAGCGCGTGACGTGCGCTCGGGCGGGGCCGTCTGAGGGCAGCGTCCGGTGCGACCGCGAGAGGGGGGCTTGGGCTTGCTCTGGGCCTCTGGCCCTCTCTCACAGAGTCTCTCTCCTCTCCCGTAGGTCCATGGAGAGCGGTGGCACTGGCAATCGCCGGTCGCAGTGCGGTGTGTGGACACGTGATGCGCCACAAGGCGAGCCGCGCGAGCGGGAGCGCGTGTCCGCGCACTCCCGTAGCCCGGTCGAACACCCCGGGTCGCGATTTTGGGAAGTGAATACGGGGGCTTTTTTATGATGAAATAAGAATCTAATGCCCGAGAGAAGCACATAGACACCCACATGGTTGACCAACCCTTACTGGGCTGGGTTTTTAGGCATTGTGGGGTTGGCACTCCCATCGATCCTCGGGTTGTTGCACGAGTATATGGGACACGATGTCTCAAATATGAGGGGCTTTGACTCCTACCAGCTCCTGACGCTATCCCTGGCAGCTCTAATGACCAGGATCAGTAGTGCTATAATAGAGGGTGCCCATACTAGCGCAGGAGCTGCCACACTCGCCCGGACCGTCCCCTTCTGGGGCCGGTTCCGCAGCCCGCGAGAGCCGACAGCGGGGCCGTGCCGCGGGTGCCTACTGCCGAGTGCCACAAACACTGCGCCGTCCCGCCATCACCTACAGGCTGTCTTGTGTGATGGTTGGGATGTCCAAACGCCACCATCTTGGCTCTTGCGACCTCAAACCCGCGAGCTGTATGGGTGGTCCTGACGTCGACAGACGCCCGAGGACCACGGTGAAGCTGAGCTGGAACGAGTCGACAAGTCTCGTCTGAGCCCGTGGCGGTCGCCGGCTGAGTCGCTGTGCACGGACCGGTACCTCAGGCGTCACCTCCGCAGCCTCAGGTCTCACACTCCATCACCTCCGCCGGGACGCCATCGGTGGCACGCTCGGCGGCGAGTTTGTGGCAGCTCCACAGCGAGCGCGGCATCGAGCCTATTCGGTCTGGTCGGTTAGGCGCACTCCCTGGGTGCCAGGGAGTGCGCCGAACGCGCGAGCGGTGCGTCCTGGCAGCCCGCGCTGGCTCCGGAGCTGCCACAAACTCGAGACACGCTTTTTTGGGACATTTTCGACGCTTTTGTCCCATATTCGTGCAACAACCCCCTCATGACCTCCTGCGGTCTCTGAGATGGACACTCCAGTGGGTGTGGGACCACAGCCAGGATACACTCGAAGGCTGGGTAAGCAGTAGAGGTCGATACTCGACGCGTCCCACATGGTATGTGTCGCTGTCGGCACGCTGTCGACAGGACGTCGAGCGACACCGGGGTGGCAGTGCCACCCAGGAGTGGTCGGTCGGTCTCCCGTCATGAGAGAGCCACCATGTGATCCGTATGATGGTTCCTGACAACCGCCCCAGTCAACTTTCGTCACAGTTCCCGCTCTGAGAGGAGCTGCAGGTCCGTTTGCGAAGGGGGAATTTATTTGTTTGGGGTGTGTGTTCGACCGGGCTAGCAGAATCTCCGAGTGGCACTCCGCTCGTGACACGACGGGGGGCCTCGAGAGTCGGAGAGCGCGAGCGGTGCGCTGGAGGGAGAGCGTCAAGCATTTTTCAGTACTTTTATGTAGATTGTGCATCGAGTGGTACAGTTTCGGACAACACACCCCCGTCAGCGTCACAGCGCTCAGCGGGGCGGCGCGAAACCCGAAATACATGCGCGTCGAGGACAGAGAGAAAGTGGGGCGGGCTCCCAACGGCCGAGAAGTGGGTACGCTGCAGCCGTGGTCCTCGTGCCCCCCGACGAGATATGGGCTGCTGCTCACGCCGCGGCGGCGCGCGGCGCCTCCTCGTCGGCGAGCTCGTCGGGGAGCGCGTCGAGCGACGCCTGGGTGCGGGATGGGAGGTGGCGCGTCCTGGAGAGGGTCGAGTGTCTGTGGAGGCGATGTGGACTCTGGATCTCGTGTGGCCGTTGGTGTCGTGGGCAGTGGCTCGCCTTGAGCGACGCAATGAGATCCTCCTTGTGCTCGATGCCGACCGACAGCCGCACAAACCCGTCCGTGATGCCGACCTTGAGCCGGTCTTCCGCGAGCATGTTTGCGTGCGTCATCACGGCGGGGCACGTGCAGATCGACTCGAGCGCGCCGAGGTTCTCGCAGAGCGACCACGGCCGCTGGATCGAATCCATGAGCGCGCGGCCCGCCGCGGTGCCGCCCTTGACCTCGAACCAGAGCATGCCGCCGTGCAGGCCTGTGAGACGTGTCAGGGACGAGTCAGGCGGGGAGTGCAAGTGGTGCGCGCGCGCGTGCGTGCGTGCGTGCGTGTGTGCGTGCGTGTGTAGGGGTGTGTAGGGGTGTGTAGGGGTGTGGGGGGGTGGGCCGTTCGCGCGCCGTTCATGTGCTGCCGGTCGGCGAGCTCTTTCTGCGGGAAGGAGGCGAGCCCAGGGTAGCGAACCACGTCCACCTGAACGTGTCGTGGACGTGTCGTGGACGTGTCGTGGGCGTGTCGTGGACGTGTCGCGGACGTGTCGTGGACGTGTCGCGGACGTGTCGCGGACGTGTCGTGGACGTGTCGCGGACGTGTCGTGGACGTGTCGCGGACGTGTCGCGGACGTGTCGTGGACGTGTCGCGGACGTGTCGTGGACGTGTCGTGGACGTGACGTGGACGTGTCTCGCTCAGCCAGCGCAGTCCCACCTTTGGATGCCGCTCGAGGAACTCGGCAATCGCCTGCGACGCGGGCGCGAGCCGTGTGAGGCCGCCTCACAGGGACGGTGCCGCTCGACCCGCTCGGGCGGTGGCCTGCGCGTTCTCGCACTGCTGCCGCACGCGCAGCGCGAGCGTCTTGGCCGTCTGCAGCGTGTAGAAGGCCTACGAGAGGGGAAGGAGACGGGTTGGCGCGCGGGGGAGCCTGCAGCCTCGTGGCCCTGCACTCGTGGCCGCTGGAGGTTGGAGTGGGGTGAGGTGGACAAGCACATGCACATGTAGCATGTGGGTGGGGGGCGGCGGGGCATGAGGAGAAGTGGGAGGTGGGGGGGCATCTAGGGCAAGGCGCGTTTTGCGGGCTCATGATGTTTCCGTGCACGTTTTGCATGTGCTTGACGCGCTCGTGCAGCTCGGGCGAGGCCGCGACCACCGCGCCGCCAACCTAGGGGAGTCCGCTCAGGATGTGTGGCAGCCCCGTTGGCTGCGTGTCTTGTCTTGTGGCTCTGTGTGCCGCTCCAGCGTGCCGCAATCTCCCGCCTAGCGTCTTCCCACACCGCGCTGGTTCCCAGCCGGTGAGGGCTTCTGCAGCTCGAGTGTCTCGTCTTGTGGCTCTGTGTGTCGCTCCTGTGTGACCGTCATCGCCCGTCCCGCGTCCACCCATACCGCGCTGGTGTCCAGCCGTCGGTCGGACTGTGTTTCGCCTTCCGATCTATCTATCTGCCCG